GAGGGGGCCCCGGGGAGAGGGGGGCCAGGCCAGGCCCCGCCCGGGCGGAGGGCACGCTCCACATCGGAGCATCTGAGAGTGAGCTGCCTGCCCATTGGTGGGCGCCGCCTGTGCGGGCCGCCCTGCAGCCAATCGTAGCCGAGGGGCGGGGCCGGCCGGCCGGTCCTGCGCTGAGCCGCGAGGGCCGGATGCCGGGCGGGGCACTGCGGCCGCCGCTTGTCCATCCCGCGAGGGCCGCGTGCTGGGCGCCCTGACCGGCGAGGTGACCATGCAGGAACCCCTGCTGGGAGCCGAGGGCCCGGCCTATGACACCTTTCCTGAGCCAGAGGGCAGGACACGGGTCCGGTGAGAGGGGCTGGGCTTGGGCTGCGGGTGGTGATGGTGGGTGTCCCTGGTCTTCAGGGGATGGTCACCAAGCGGCTATCTGGTCACCTCCTGCCGCAGGCACCCTGGTCTGCCACAGGGCGCAGACAGGGAGGACTGGGCCCAGAGAGGGTGAGGGGCTGAACTGGAGTCACACAGCTGGCCACGCTGGCAGACCTACATCCACATCCCAAGCCTCCTTGCCTGGAACAGGGATCCCGGGGACCAGGACTGCCCGGGACTTTCTCACGAGTGCCCAAGCCCTCAGTCTAGGCCCCTGTGCGCTGCCTCCTGAGCTGAGCTAACTGGGCCCTGGGTGGGCAGTGGGACTCACACCTGCCCCTCTGCGCCCGCCTCCAGAACGCTGCAGAACTCGAGGGTGTACCTGGCCACCCTGGCCGCTGTGCTGGGAAATTTCAGCTTCGGCTATGCCATGGTCTACACGTCCCCGGTCATCCCGGCCCTGGAGCAAGCCTCGGGCCCAGACCTGCATTTGACCAAAACCCAGGCTTCCTGGTTCGGGGTAAGGGCTGCGCAGGGAACTGGGGGGCAGGAAGTGGGGGCACCGAGCAAGGTGCCCAGACATCCAGGTCCTAGCCCACCTCTCCACCTGCTCCAGGCCGCTGCTGCTAGGGGTGGGGTGGGCAGGCAGACAAGGGCCCCGAAACCAAAGGGGGAAGTGGAAGGGATGGGTTCCCCAGACCACACCCACAGCTGCTGCCTGGCAACTCCCAGGACAGCGGGTGCCTGGGCGGGGGACCCTGTCACACACAGAGCCCGGACAGACTGGGGATACATGAATGCCGAACCAAAGGCAAGCCCACGGCCCTTGGGGTTCTCACTCAGCAACCCCGGGGCAGCGTGGGACTTCGAAGCTCAGTCTCTGCGGGAGCGGAGGGTGGTAGGCTCAAACGGCCCACCTTAGCAGCCCAGCCCTTAACCCATCGACCCACCAGGTTCCCCTTGAACTGGTGAAGGCCACTTGCCAAGCTGAGGGTCTAGAATGATCTTGGTAGATAATTTGCAAAAAATAAGCATTTGGGGTCTAACCAATAGGTGTGAGGTTTGAGTCTTCCCCAGGGGTGCCGTGGGAAAAAGGGCCGGTGGTCAGTTTTCCGTGGAGCAGGCCCCCTCTGACATGGGGGGAGGGGCCATGCATGAGTCAACTTCAGGGCCGCTGGTACTCGAACCCCTCACTCTCAAATCTTGGGGCTGTATCATCCCAGAGTTGTGAATGGATATTTTAAGGGTTACACACACCCCAGGAGGACAAAACCACCATGGACGCGTGGCCTCCACCTCCTCCCCAGAGCAGGAATCCTTCTAGGACCTCCCTAATAAATGGCTGTCCATATGCTGCTTGATTACTTCTGGAGACAGGGGGCTCACTGAGTCTGGGGCTCAGCCCCAGGAAGAAGCTGACTCTCTCGTGTCCCTTGTCTCCACAGTCTGTGTTCACCTTGGGCGCAGCGGCTGGGGGTCTCAGCGCCATGCTGCTCAGTGACCTCCTGGGCAGGAAGGTCAGCATCATGTTCTCCGCGGTCCCCTCAGTGGCTGGCTACGCGCTTCTGGCGGGCGCCCGTGGCTTCTGGATGCTGCTGCTGGGGAGAACACTGACGGGTTTCGCCGGGGGGCTCACCGCCGCCTGCATCCCGGTGAGGCCAGACCCTCACTGCCTTCTACCCAGCCCGCCTGACCCCTACCCCCCTCCACCCCGTTCGCCTGACCTCCCTGCCCTCCGCCACCAGGGCGGTCACTTAGGGGAAAGCTGCCCCGTGGTCTCATCCCTAGACTTCCCCTCCTGTGGGCTCTTGCCACACAGCGCGTTTCTCAACTGGGGAAAATCCGTATTAGCCAGGCAGGGAGAGGAAGCCCCAGCATCTTCTCTTACCCAACCATCTCTGCTGGGCTGGGGGAGCACGGCAGAAGAAGGGGACCAAGAACCTGGGGACGGCAGGGAGCATGGATGTCGGATGGCCCTGGGCTGACTTATTCCTGGCATCTGCCCACTTGACAACTAGGGAAACTGAGGCCAGGGGCAGGTCAGGCAGTGGGTCCTGAGTGGGGACCCTGCGTTCCTCTCACCAGGGGCTCTGTGATGCAGGTGTACGTGTCTGAGATCTCTCCCCCTGGAGTTCGAGGGACCCTGGGGGCCACCCCCCAGCTCATGGCTGTCTTTGGATCCCTGTCCCTCTACGCCCTTGGTGAGTGGCCTGCTGACCAGAGCTGGGCAGCTCTGGCCGAGGCCTCTTGTGCCGTGGGCACCAGGCAGCGTCCTGCCATCAATGGGCATGTGCAGCCTGCCTGTCTGGGCAGTGGGAAGGCTTGGAGACTCGAGATAAGGGTTCAGCTGCCGGGGGGCGGGGGGGGGGGGGGGCGGGGAGGGGCCGACGGGCAGTTGGGATACGGTGGGGGCCTGGGCCTTGCCCGCTCATCCTGTCACTCCTTCACGGTGCCAGGGCCCCCGAGGCCCTCCAACAAAGGGCCGCCACTGTGTGGGCCCCATCCTAGTGGCTGCACAGTCCTTGGCCCGGGCCCTCAGGGGTCTTTCTTCAGGCAGTGGCCCTTGGACAAGGCTTTGAGTGTGGGCAAGGAGGGAGGGGGCTCTGTGTCCGGCCTGGCTGCCTGCCCTGACCCGGCCTCCCCACCCATAGGCCTCCGGTTGCCGTGGCGCTGGCTCGCCGTAGCCGGCGAGGTGCCGGTGTTCATCATGGTCCTGCTGCTCAGCTTCATGCCCAACTCGCCGCGTTTCCTGCTCTCGCGGGGCAGGGACGCTGAGGCCCGGCGGGCACTGGCCTGGCTGCGCGGGCCCCAGGCCGACATCCGCTGGGAGTTTGAACAGATTCAGAATCACGTGCAGAGCCAGGTGGGAGGGCCCGGCCGGTCCGAGCCCAGGGGCTTTTTCTGGAACCCAGGCACAGTGGCAGCCCACGACGGGGTGGTAGGCAGGTAGGCCCAGGCGCACCCACACCTGGGGGCATCGGCCGACCCCCCTCTCCTCTCCCTCAGCCTGGGAGTAGTGTAGAGAGGTGGGTGGACAGACATGTTCCCAGAGTCAGAGGGCATCACTGGACTTTCCCCAGGAAGGGCAGACAGGGGTTCTCCTCACCAGCCCTGGGGAGGCCAGGCCAGGGCAGCAGCTCTGGGCAGCAGCCACGCCCCCCCAGCGGCAGCCTCATTTATCCAGAACAGCCGCATGTCCTGGGCCGAGATCCGGGACCCGCACGTGGCCCGCCCCATCGCCATCGCCTTGCTGATGCGATTTCTGCAGCAGCTGACCGGCATCACGCCCATCCTGGTGTACCTACAGTCCATCTTTGCCAGCACAGCGGTTGTGCTGGTGAGCCCCCCGCACAGCCAGTGCACGGTTCTAGGGAGGGGGTGGTGTGGTCCAGAGCGGGGTCTCCCAGCGTCTGCATCCACTCCCGCTGGACACCTGCTCGGGCCAGATGCCGAAGCCCAGGAGACAGGCAGAGAGGGCTCAGCCAGGGGTCTGAGCTGTTCTGTGCGGCTCACCTGTTCTCAGAATCACGTGTTGGATAGCATGTCCCCACGTGGTGCCAACATGTTAAGGACATGCTAACGGCATTAGGCTTCACCCTGGGGGGCCCCGAAGCACCCCGCTCCCTGGCGCACCTCTACTGTCACTCTCAGGGCCAGGAGGCCAAGCAGTTTTTTAAAATCTGTCTTAAAGTAAAATAGGGGCTCTGGTAGCGCGGTGGGATAAGCACTCGGCCGCAACCACAAGGTCAGTGGTTCGAACCCACCAGCCGCTCCTTAGGAGAAAGGCAAGGCCGGCTGCTTCCTTGAGATGGGTGTAGGGCACCCTCTGCGGCAGTTCTTGGCCCTTGGAGCCTCGATGGCAGTGGGTTCCTGGGAAAGTGGACTGGGAAGGGGAGCTACGGGGAGGGGCGCCTGCCACTTGAGAGGGCAGCGTGGCCCCCTGGACCTCCTCCACTTCCGCATCTGCGTGGCGGAGATAGCCCGCCTGGGCTTACAGATGGAAATGGAAGATTAATAAGACACGAGGGCCCAGGCTCAGCCCCGCAGGGAAGGGGGCGGGCCGGCTCTCAGGCGGTGGCCCCTCCCTGCAGCCCCCCAAGGATGACGCAGCCATCGTGGGGGCTGTGCGGCTCTTCTCGGTGCTGATCGCCGCCCTGGCCATGGACCTGGCTGGCCGCAAGGTGCTGCTCTTTGTCTCGGGTGAGGCTCCTTCCGGGCGCTGGGCGATCCCACCCCGCGGGAGGGCGCAGGGGGTGTACTCGGGGAGGAGCTTCCCGGGGGAGGCCTGCTCACGTCCTGCCCACGTCCCCAGCATCCATCATGTTTGCCGCCAACCTGACGCTGGGGCTGTATGTCCAGTTGGGGCCGAAGCCGCTGACCCCCAATGACACTCTGAGCCTGGAGAGCCTGTCCCTGGGGGGTCCCGGGCAGCATCTGGCCTCACCTGCCAACTACCTCACCCTGGTGCCCCTGCTAGCCGCCATGTCCTTCATCATGGGTAGGTGGCAACAGCCCCCAAGGGGACTGGGGAGTCGGGGCTGTGGACCCCTGGGCGGTGGGTGGAGGCTGTGGACCCCCTGGGTGTCCCCCAGCCTGCTGGCCCTCTCTGCAGGCTATGCCATGGGCTGGGGGCCCATCACCTGGCTGCTCATGTCGGAGATCCTGCCGCTTAGGGCACGTGGCGTGGCCTCGGGGCTCTGCGTGCTGGCCAGCTGGCTGACTGCCTTTGCCCTCACCCAGTCCTTCCTGCCTGCTGTGGTGAGTGCTTGCCGCCTCCAGACCCCACCCCACCTGAAAGCACGCACAGTAGGAGCTGTCCCCAGAAGTCAGGTCTCGGTCCAGGCCCGTTGGGCCAGCCAGAGGTCCTGAGGACCCCACCTGCCACCTCATCTCTGCCCACTTCCTTCTGGTCCAGCCCTCTCCCTGGGTCTGTAGTGGGCCCTCACACCATGGCCCCTGTGACTGTAGCCCACAGCCTGCAGGCAGGCGTGGGAGCCTACACACACACACACACACATTCTACAAATACACGTGCACACAAATACCCATTCTAATACACAGCACACTCACACAGGCTCACAAATACAATTCTACAAACACATGTAAATACCAATTCCTACACACTTGTATACTCTTACAACCTCTCACACACACTTCTACAGACTGCACACTCAGCCTTCCACATGAATCTTCCCAATGCATACACCCATCTTCACTGTCCCCTCCAACACTGGGTATCCACCTTTCCACACACACAGTACTCACACACACACTCACACTCCTGCCCAAACCTACGCTCACACAACTCGCAGTCACAAACTGACACAATCTCACACACTCCAACATGCACATGGCATATTCTCACACACGTGTACAATCTCATCTGCTCCCATGAGGTCACATACCATCTCAAATGCACTCCGTCATTCCGAAACTCACCCAATCTCATTCAACACAGCACTCACTACACACTCCCTCACACACACCAACCTCCTGCTGGGCTACCAACAGAAACCGTGAAGATAAGTAGCATCTCTGGGTCCTACTGCCATGCTCCCACAAGAATTCAGAGGGCTGGGCCCAGTGCCCGCTGGAGCCGGTCAGGGAGCAGGTGGGGTGGCTGTGAGGGTGCACCGAGCAAGTGTGGCAGGCCGTGGGGGAGGCACTGAGAGGAGGGGCTCGTGGGGCAAGATGGACCCCACATCCCCAGGGCAGCTTGGGGGGGTGGGCCCTGGGGGCCTCAATTGCCATGGCCAGGGCGAGAGGATCCTAGGTCCTCCTAGTGACCCCCACCTGTCTCCACTCCCCCGCAGAATGCCTTCGGCCTGCAGACACCCTTCTTCTTCTTCGCGGCCATCTGCCTGGTCAACCTGGTCTTCACGGGCTGCTGCGTGCCAGAGACCCGGGGCCGCTCCCTGGAACAGATCGAAGCCTTCTTCCGCACCGGCAGGGGCTCCTTCCTGCGCTAGCCTAGGCCCCTCCTGGGGTCACCACCACTCAGAACCCCCATCCCCCCTGAGACATAAGAAGCCGGGCTGTCCCACCCACCTCTGGCAGGGCAGACAGATACCAGGGACAGAGCCCTCTGGTTGACCTCGGGCCTCACTTCTGGTGGATGTGGCCCAAGGGACAAGTGGGGCGCTGGTGGGGGCCGGTCAGGTCACCACCACCGTGCACCCTCTGCTGTGGGAGGATGGCGGGTCGGTGCCAATAAGGACCTGGCTGACCCCGCAGGGAAGGCTCCAGACCCTGGACCCCCACACCTGCCCCACCTGGCTTGTGGGATCAGAACTCCTGGGCAGATTGTGTTCTGTCCCCCTCCACCCCGTCTGTGAAATAAAGCCACTGGGTGTGAGGGCAGCCCCCCAGGAAGAGGGGTGTCTTCCAGGCGGGGCCCCGCTGCAACCCAGGCAGCTGGACTGGTCCTGGCACTCCAGCCTCGGTCCCCAGGGCCTGTGGCCCCCAGCGACGTGTCCCCAGCCTGGGGAGAGGGGTCGTCACCCATGGCTGGCCAGGGCAGGCCACTCTCCTTGGAGCCTGCCTCCTGTGCACAGAGCGATGCAAAGTGGCCCCGGGGGACCAGCAGGCGGGCAGTGAGCACACACATGGCTCCTTTATTGCTCAGAGCACAGCTGGACACACAGGGCAAGGGCTGGGCAGTCCGCAGGCTCAGGGCCTGTCATAGGGGGGCCACCCCCAACCAACCTCTGAGGCTGGTGTGTGGGCCTGAGCGTTGGGCACCCACCCATCCCTGGCAGAGAGCTGCCAAAGGAAGCAGCCAGCAGGGTAAGCAAGCTGAGTGCCCCCTCCTACCCCTGGAAGGTAGACAGGTTTTAGTCACTAAATACCTGGACAGATGCACACACACATACACACACACACACACACACACA